TGCGTTTTCGAACTTGCGCGGCATAAGAGCCTAGACTATGTAGTCTAGGCTAAAGGTATGGGAAGTATTAAATGAGAAGCAAAAACGTCATAGACAGAATTCTGTAATTATTGGAACGAAGTGTTTTTTGCAAGTACCACAGAACCATAACCTGGGCTCGTTCTAAATTTACAAACTTACTTAATAGCATTAATCAAATTTTCATCTCAAAAATTTCGATATTTTTATAAACATACTTCGTGATTGTCGAAACAGCGGTTTTAGCGGTTTTTAGCGAACACAACGACATGGTTTGACATGAGGATGAAGAGAACTTCCGCCTGAAGGTCTTCTATAGCAGCTATAATTGAAAGCATAGCAGCTGTAAGCATTGTCCGCAAACCTGTCTATATTGCGATTGGGCTTAAATTAGGCCTGCGCGGAAGGCTTAAATATTTACGTTGAATTACGATATGAGCCGAAGAAGTATCTAGTTACTATTTATGACATCGCTATTGCTTAATATGAAGAGTATAGAGTTCGTGCGCAAGCCATGGAAATAACAGAAAAAGTCAACGACATAGTAGCTAATCTTATTTTTCCACCCATGCAATTTTCGCCTGACGCAAGGAAGCGTTTCCACGAGATTTGGCTGATTACTTGTGAAAGGTACTCCTATTGCGTACTAACCTGGCCGATTGATTCTAGACTGGACTTTCCGTCTTGTTTGTATACGCATGTCGGTTTGTCGAAAATTAAAATGCATTTATTATTAGAGAAATTATTAGAAAATTATTAGAGAAAATGCAACAAGTTGTGCCCCATTGCTACTTTTGGGTCATCGATGCAGTTGGCCATATACTACCGTAATGTAGTAGGAACTTTTGGTCTCCCTTGGGTCAAAAGCCCTCGGCTTCCTTAAGTGCCCGATTTGTCCGACTTAATACGTATTACTCGTGTCTTTTATTTAGTGGGACCTATAAAAACGAAGCCCTCGCCTTGCTTAAGTGCCTGATTTGTCCGACTTAATACGTATTATTGATCTCGATTGCCGATTCGTCACTGCAACAATTTACACTATATCTTTAGAAAGCGTTTTGCAGCAGGTTTGGGAGCAGAAGATTCATTATCAATGCCTGAGCAAGTCTCCTTCCCATAAAGAACAGCAAGAACTAATGCTGGGGGAGCTAGATCATCAAATGCAAAATGATATATTTCCGGGCAGGAAAACAAGCAGGGCTTCAGACGTGGGACATTCAAGGGATGCTTTATCCATCAGTTGTTATGAATGATGTAATCCGGTCGGGACCGCATTCCCTTCAAATATGTTTGTAAAGCTGTATACAAAGCTAAGCGAACAATATATCCAACGACTGAAAAGAAAGAGGAACGAGGATAGCTTTTCCGAAGTGGGACCTTCTACAATAACAGCTGCGTAGGTACCATAAGTTGATAAGCAGTTGTCAACCGAATTACCCTAGAAATTGTACGTAACTATATAGTAATATGTGAAACTAGCGGTCTTTAGCCGTCAACGTTAGCAAGCAAAACAGAGTTCATAGTGAGTGAACTCGACACAAACTCGTCCTACCTATACCGGAAGAATATGCTGCTAAAGTTTCCGAGAGATAGCTTTCGACTTTTGCCATATTGCCAGTCATCATGCGGACATTTCATTCGATTCTGGTGTTGGCTAGTATGAACCCGCGCTGCGCAGCCACTGGCTTTTATCACGTCATGGTATCTTTGTCTGCATAACGCCTATTGCGTAAAACCGTATCACTTCTGAGATACGCGTCTAGCCTCCCTTACCAGTCAACCTTTTTCCGTCGATACTTAGTTAACGACTGAATGCTTTTTTCTGATACTTACTTCGGCGCTGACGATCACGTGAAATGAGACTTCACGCCGTCATCGATACTGACGATTGGTTTGGTGTGGCCTGCCTCCTGCGACAATCTGGCCCACAACCGTCCTATTTTTTGCAACGCTGGTGACTTCTGCTTTTTCGATCTTTTTTTTTTTTTGGAGGTTGAGGGCAAATGCATTATGCAGACCGGGCATAGGCAGGGCAAGTCTGCTCTAAGTCCGGTACTGTGGGACTCTCACCCACTAAACCCTGGACCCCTTTATCCGCTTGGGCCATGGCTCGGTATATTTTTGATATTACTTCGAAACCATGGCTTGCAGGAACGGTCATTTCATCTTCCTTCTCTTTGAGCCGTTCCAGTCCACCCTCCATTTTGGCCTTCCTCTTGAACATTTTCTCTAGCTCTCGAGGGAGGCCGTGCGCTCTGTAATACCTCTGGATGCGATTGTTTCGCGTTAGGCCCACGATTGTTTCGAGTGTGCCCTTCCACTATTCTCTTACGCCTCTTCCTTTCTAGTTGTTCTTTACTTTTTATCATTTCGTCGAAGGCCGTGACCTTGGCCCAGTTCTTCTTATCCTTGATCATCATGTTCACCATTTCCTTAGTACTGTTCTTTGTTCTTACTTCTCTATGTACCTGTTTGTCTCTGACCACCTTTAATGCCTGGCAGTGGAGTAGGGTGTGTTCTACTCCATCTTCCATGCCCGCCTCACAGAGCACGCAGGTATCCACTTGCGCTTTGCCAATCTTCTTCATGTATGTCTGGAACTGTCCGTGTCCCGACAGAACTTGGCAGGAGTAATATGTTAATTCTCCCTGTTTGCTGCAATACCACTTTCTGACATCTGGTATTAGGTGTCGGGTCCAGCTGCCTGGAGATTCTCCTCCTCCATAAGTGCGTGGATTTTCCCATTGCTGCTGCCATTTATTCATTGTTTCCTCCCTTGCTTTTTCGATCCGGCTCTCCGACACCTTACCGATATCCACGTCTCGTAGTTCGCTGGCTGTTACCGGTTTGGTGGGACGTATACTTCATCGATGCCACCAACTTGTGAACGAAATAATTATTGTTTAATAACAGCAATATATCGGCGATGATCCAGAGCTTAACCTGCATCTGTCTGACTTTGGTCGTTCTGAAGCCTTCGTAAACAACTTATGATACAGTACGCCTACTCACATCAAACATCGCAATGGAAACAAGGGGTGATCGGAAAACTGCCTCGCTTAACTTCGAAGTCTGCATTCTTGTGTATTTTCTGTTCCATTGTGCTGAGATCTGGCTCTGCTTCCTCTGCAACTCCATATTAGTTTTAGATGAGGGTAACCCAAAAAGCGTAGAATTTTGTCGCTGATTTTTTTCCACTTTCTGCAAATAGTTGAGTGTCGTTCATAATGATGACAGCCTATGTATGTATCTGTATATATATAGGCTCATAAATTGACGGGCTGTTTGTAGTAACGGCCATGCATTCATCTGCTACTTCTGGTATTGGACTAAAATCGATTTTAAAATTAATGTCAAATGTTATAAAAGATGGCATGCCTTTTAATGTTGGAGGATTTGAAAAAATGTATACCTAATATATATATATATATATAAAATGTGTGTCTAATTACTCTACAAGACTTCACTAATATACGCGGTTATCGAGAATCTCAGATGTTTTTCTTATAAAATGGATAATTATTTTTAGACCAAATTTCATGTTAAGTGAATAACTGAGATTATACTAGTGTTTATGAAAATATTGTTAGACAACACAGTATTTGCGTTATTTTGGTACTCGATATTCTAAAATAAATGCTAACAGTACTTAGTAAATTTGGCTGCAGGAGACTAGATCCGATTCGTTTTTTACATCCCGTAACAGATAAACATACATTACGCCGAAGCTCAAATCGTTATTTTTGAATCACTGAAATTCGAGTGACTTTACACGAATAAAATATACTTGAAAAGAAATTCACTTGACTACCTGCGCCCCCGTATTTTTTGAGTAAAAATGCGGTTTCAAGTTTAGCAGGTACTTTTTTACACGAAAAAAATATTGCTGAATTTAAATAGAACATTGATTAAACATTTCAATGTTCCGTCAAACTTTGCTTTTTCCTATTCCACCGGATCTCCTTTGGATAACAAAGAAGCTAAATAGCCAATTAGTTCCTTTGCGACAGTTTCATGTATTTCAAAGTTTACATTTAAATAAACTTGTTATATTGAGTTAAACTACCCTGGAGGTCATGCGGGTTATGCTGAGATAGGGCTATATAGGCCATTGTACCTTGGGCATATATGAATCCGCTGTTGAGAAATAAGTATTCTCAGAAAACAATACAGTTGGGGTCCGTGTATAAGTGTTCGTATTTTCACGTTCACTGAATTACATATCGTTGTTGTCAACAACAATTTTAAAAAGAGATTTAACTGCTTTATTAGCATCATTGATTCCACAGGAACATATTTTCGACATATGCACCATATTGTAGAAAGTCGTGATCATGGCTTAAGTCGACGATTATGGCTATCGTTATTGTGGCTATAGAGATGTCAGTGTCACCTAGCTAGGTCTGAAGAACGGCGCGCACATTGCCATTAGATCTTCTTAATTCACAAGCTTGCCACCCAAAGTCCGGCCTCATGTTGCGTAACAGAACTTCATGTGGCCCTACAATAGATGACTCACCCGACCTGTCAATAAATGATTGAAGAGCATTGTCTCCTTAAGTTAGAACCACAGCTCTTTGTATAAAAAGCACTTCTTCACATTCGTTGGTGGGCCATATAAGTCCACTTCTTGCTATATGAACCAGGGACATAGATGTCTTCAATCAAAATTTTTTCGAAAATAATTTGTAGTGAGCTTATTTCGGCCATTGTGGCACGGGTTGAGCAAATTGTTGCCTATTAGCCTCGCCCTCTTCGAAATGAAGCATCCGAATGGGAATCATATGTATTGGTTTATTTTTAAACAACATATTATGGTATATGAGTATACTAGAATACATTGGAAATATGTTGCGAAATGATTACGAAAAATACCTTTATTTGAACTAAATCACGAGCTTTGCTTCAGTGCTTCAAGACCAATAACAATAACAGGAAGCTTACGTTAAACTACATAGGTTTATCTAAAAAACAACTCCCAGTTGCCCAAGTAATAAAGGTTTTAATCGACATAAGAATTATATATAGAGAGTTCGAACTCTCCTCTTTCAAATTAGATTTATCTTGACAGTCAGTCAACTTCGCTGCGACGTACTTAGGCTGGAAAAAACCGAGGTTGCCTAGGTACGTACTAACTGTTCCGCTGAGTGAGTTTTTTCGTAATTGCTAATAATATTCGTGAAAGTCACTGAAGATAATTCTGCGATAGAAAAAAAAGACCGTCGTCGTACGCGGTCTTTAAAATCTGCTCATGGTTACTTGGTGGAATACTGCCGTATGGATCAGAGGTGGCGGTGGGTTGGTGCACTGTTTTGGTGGAGTACTTATTTCCAAAGCACTTCTACTGCGTCTCGTTAAAGAATAACGCAATCTGCTGGCCGTCCCTTCGCAGCCAGTCAGCGTTGTTTTCAATGCATTCGAGGGTTTGATGTACTATGCGTTCGCCTCCTTCGATCGGGTGCTGAAATCGTATGTACGTCATCAGTTTGCGAACCTTCGATTAATTAATTTAACAAACTGCAACTTTTGCTAGCTAGAACAACAAACGATCTGCACAGGTATACAGAGAAACAGATTAAACAGTAAACATTGATTATATTTAATTTTGTGTAACGTTTACCAACTGAGCTCATTTTATATGTTCTTTAAATGCATTTTCCTCATATTGCGGGAACCGTTTTATTTTCCTTCGCTTTTTTAAAACCGCAGGACATATATTATTCACCATTATTACATAGTATTCGATCATGCAGGTTGCAATGAAAGACGAATCAACTACTGGCTATTTTCGGTTAAGCATTAGCAATAGCTTACAATGCTCCGTTGCTAGTGTCTGTGCTACTAACCTTTTGAAAGAAAACCTGAAACTCCTTTGCTTTCTCTAGCGAGTGGAAGTTTTCTCCTACCCATGAAATTATAATGTGGAACAGCGATCCCGAATTGTACATTTTCTTATACCTAGGAAACGATCACGATATTGTTAGAGATAGATACACTTTATTGCTTATTCTGAATAACCCAAACCTTTAAGTTACCTAAGGTCCTTTAGGCGGTGTGCCGATAGATACACGGTTGCAGAGTGCTTATAGAAGATCAAAACGAAGTCAGTAATCTATCTCAAATAGCAATTAAATATATGATATACGAAAGATGACAGCACTTGGTTTATACCATTTATGAAAAGATAATTTTAAGTGATCACCTCATTACAATAATCGAACCCGAATAGCTGACATGAGTTACTCACTTTTCAAAGTTAGCGTTAAAGTGTGCCCAGGCAAGTTCTCTTCCAAGCGAGTGACCGGCTACTGATCCTATGACAAAGGGAAGGTCCTGACTGCGTACGGCATCGGAATCGGCATACTCTAAGGTCTATAAGAGATAAGTAAATATAGAAATATGTTACAAGACAACGCTGAGACCATTAGCCAAAAAAAGAACTAGCCGTAGATACTCTCTGATGTTTTCCTTACATGTATAGTTTGACTACCATTATAGAAGCAAACAAACAGTGACGAGGTGAATATAAGACTTAAATAAACTCTGTCGCGTATTCTTTGGCTATAACAATTCCGATCAATTTTATGATACATTTCTAAAAAATCTACCTAAAAAGTTAATTCCTAGTCACACGTACCTTCAATAACAAATCCTTGCTTCGAGCAAACCCAAATGATGTTTGGATCCTGACGATTTCCTCTTGTAAATCAGTGGTCTTCACCAGCTTCATAAGCTCATCCCATAAAGCAGGCTGTTTATGGGCCTCCATAGCAACAGCTTTATACACAGCTTTTCGCACATCGGCTGGAATAGTACCCGATCCGGCTATATAATTATCAAATCGCCGTCGGGCTTCCGCAAGCACACTCTCGTCACCTAAAGTCACTAGCGCGTTCACCAGTTGCGTACGCAAGATTGCATCCGATGGCTCTATCGTTTAACAGAAACAATACGGTCGGTAGTCAGAGAACACCAATTAAAACGACGTTTTAGTGCGTTCATTGCATTGTAACGCTATGCAGACCAACTACCACCCTTTTTTTTTTTAAAGAATTATTGTCGCCCACCGAGCCATTCAGAATAGTATCCTGTAGACGTATAAAGATTCTCAAAAACTTGCCGCGGCAGTTGTTCCCGCTGGCATTAATCGAAAAAGATAAGACGCTTGAATTGTACTATAATAATAATAATAATAACGATAATTATATTAGTATTACTGTCTAATCAGTATAGAAAAACAAACAGGTTAATATGTGTACGTACTCTCGTCTGGTTTAATATCCCATCCAAGTTTTTGAAATATTCCCGATAACAGCTGTCGCGCGAAACAACTCAGCTTTTCGTGAAGTACCGGCTGATCATCCAGAAGCTGTGCAAGTTCGAGAAGGAAGTCTATGATTGATTCCAAGACGGACAATTCGGTTTCGTTACTATACGCCTGCGTCAATATGAGAAGTTCCTTCGTTGACGCATAACCGGCCTTCACCTAAAGACACCAGAGGGTGAAAACAGTAGCAAAGCAAGTAATCAGAATAGCTCAATTATATGGGAACCAGTAGATTTTTTCGACATCGACATTTGCATTGCTCAAGCGTTACCTGACAATACGTTACAGATAAGACGTTTAATCTATAAATTGTCATAACGTTTTTCAGTGGTGTCAAGTGCAAACTAACAAGGATCGTGTATAATATAAACGTGTGATAGGATGGCATAGCGGTAACCTGGACGCCTAGTGATCTGGTCGATCAGGTACAGAACCGTGTAAAATGATAACTTTTTGGGTACTCTTCCTGATTATTTACTCCTTTTTTTTCCGTCAAACATTAAAGCTTTGAAGAGAAGCGGAACAAGAATATTAGAAAGAAATGAATCTAATCTACGCTGTGATGAATTTATTCTTCGCTACATATCGAATCATATCAGTCCACGTATGGTCCCATACCGATGTCCCAGTGGCATAGTTTCTTGATGATTGATTGTGCATAGAGTCTCTGGCAGCGCTAATCACGAGCAATTAGCTAAATCAACAAGCTACACTCAAGACCACATATAACTATTCTATTGCAAGATACTGCTGAGATTTCTGGATACTAGAATTTTCAGTTTTTGCTCGAGAACACGTACGAGGGCAAAGAGATCTGAGTGTAAGGTGTACCGATCAACTGCAGATAGGCTCTTATCACGGATCGATGGCATCAGGGCGTCAAGCATTGGCTGATCGTAGTGGACGCGAAATACACCAAAAGCTCCGTAGTTAACCTGTTTAAAAACCAACAAAGGCCGCCCATAAAGTTATTCGTCGCTCCTCCACGCTATGTGATGGATCATGATGCTCAGTGATTTGGGAAATTGTTACAAAAGGATTAGAAATTCGTAAGTGAAGGAAAAACATTCAGTGAAACTGAGTGTTTTTATGGCACTGAATTCGTCTTTTTTATGAACGGTGCGCGTATCACATGGACTTCCGCACTTTATCGAACTACAACGCAGTTTTGCACTAGGAAAATTCATAGTAATCAACAGATACATATGCCGAAATGTGACATGGCTCACATGTATCCACGCAGCGTTGGCGCCATCTTTGATTTCAATTTCTTGTTCAGGAGAATCCAGCAATACTGTTGTCGTCTCAAGTCCAGCCGCACCAATCACAAGTGGGACCTGTGAATCACATTACCGAGTGTAGTGTACAAATTTGCCTGATTCGCTTTTCTGAACTAATACTTAACGGGAACATCGAACATTAAAACAGGCTTAGAAATATTTGTTTGGTATGATTTGACTATTTCAACATTATTTTATATTAAACATTTCAGAGAATTTGTAGCCCTTTACGAATCATAATGATTCGAACCGATATCCTTGAATCGCTAATCCCTGAACTGAAAACTTTTTTAAACTTTAGAACTATTTTTACGTTACATACCTTCCATTGTGGCTGGGGGCTTTTAGCGGATTTCTCGGCAGTTGCATAAAATTTCCTTTGCTTAATCTCCAGGATACGATTGGTACCGGATTCACGTGACTTCACCTATGTCAGCCATAAAACTAGAGGTAAGATCAGACGATACGAACTTTTAATAGTAAAAATTTCCCAATGGAGTCAGAGGACTGTCTAATCTTCTCCTACGCTAATATAAATTCGAGCTAATCAAGCGAGCCTAAAACCGACATGGCCTTTTCAGGACATAACGTTGCACTATGAATTAACGACAAAACGTAAAGGACCTACCGACAGAACAGGAAATCCCATTTGCTTAATCCAAGAATCCATCAGATCGTTAATATTCTGACCGCTTTTCTCGCTAATAGCTGCCCACAGATCCTCTGTTGTAGTGTTACCGTAGGCGTGTCGCGTCATGTACAGTTGCAGGCCGCTGCGGAAGGTCTGTCACGGGCATAATTATTATAAAGAAAAAATTGCATAATCATAAGAAAAAAAACAGGGATTTTGAGGACCCATGTGTAGTAACAAAATCGCGGTATTATTTATCATACACTGTATTCGTGGTGGATATTTCAACAGCTCTAAGCAGAGGTTGAGTAGAACTTAAAGCAAGTTCAAATAGTACTTTAAAGATTTCAACCTAAGTTTATTTTCTGTAAGTTAGTCTTTTACATAAGTTGTCCTTGTTTACATTGAAATACAGAAAGTTTAGAGGAAGCTTCTTGCTTATTATATAATGATTAAGCTTTAGTTGTTCTCCCATAGGCTTGTGGAGATTTCCGAACGCACTGTTATTGAGGACATAAATAACGTTTCCAGGTTCGGCTTTAAATATTCATGCATACTTTTCGCAATTAATGAAGAATCGCAGTAGATCTGACCGTTGATGGTGACTTAGTTCACTGATGATCATCGTACTTTACTCTGAAGATCAAACACTAACCTCTTTGCCAAGATAGTTACAGAGCATTGCTATAACAGAGGCTCCCTTTTGGTAGCAAATTGCATCGAAAATTTCTTCTACTTCATGGGGGTGGTGAACTTCCACTTCAATCGGATGAGAACTATCCAAAGCATCCAGCTGCAAATATTTTATTGTATCTGTTAAGTTTTTCTTTCTAATTGTTTACCGCTCGGCTATATTCAAACAAAAATGTACATTCAAGCCTACTTATTACTATGTGACGATTATGATTTAATAACATTGACTCGAAACTACGCAAACAGCAATCATCTATTTTTTTTTAAAGAAACCCTTACCTTAAGGGCAGGATGAATTACAGTAGACGGGAACTGCGTCATGATGTCGAACTCTGGCGCAAACACCGATGCAGAATACATCTGCATAAATTTAGCGAAACCTTCGTTTAACCAGAACGAAGTCCACCATTCCTGAAAATTTTCCAATGAGTACAAGGTCTAGATGGTGTTGTGCGGCACAGGGGCTATCGGTAACAAATCGTTATCTTTGGAAGTTATTACAATCAAGATCTGAGCATTTTTTGGGCACATCTGTATTTCAAATTTGGTGATACTGAAGCCACAAAATACGCGTTGATTTTTCTATGCTCCACAACTACATTTGCCGAAATAATAAGTAACTACTTTCCAACCCTTAATACATGCTCAAACATAAAGAGTCTTAATATATTAGCGGATAATTGGAACAGTGTGAGATACGCGAACACAGCACAATGTACAGGTTCCGTTGTATTTAGTTCATATCCATACTTTGAATATCGTAATAAGGCTAGCACAAAATAATCTTTATGCTTGTTGTGACCTATCCCTATAATTGATTTTAGAATAAATTCACCCATACTTCTACCTACGCTACCACAACGAGATGTTGATACTTTACCTATGAACGTATTACGTTTTGGATAATGGCATAACACACAAAATCCCGATCACTGTCAACATTAAAACAGCTCGAGGCCCAGTTGTCACTTAGTATTTACTCAACGATTAATTTTACTAGGGGCAAAGAGGAAGCAAAAGGTAGTTAACTTTTAATTATCATTTTGGCCTACGTATTACCGAAGGAGCTAAGCCCTTTTGATCTCAGATAATGTATCTTGGCAACCCTTGATAGATTCAAGCCGATAGAACTGAATTTATCCTTGATTAAGCAAAACTGCGTTTTATATTGACATAGTCGGATGTCCAGTACTGAACCACTCCGTCTACTCTGCGCAAACGGAATAAAAATCAGGGGAGCACAGAGGCTTGATAAGGTGACCATTAATGGAGCACGCAAGAATGTGTAAAAGACGACTGACTGAGGTTCTGGGAGACTTCACTATAAATTTAACCATAGATGTCACTATCATTTTTCTCAAGTATTTTCCAAGAATCTGTATATAATCGTACAGATATATAATCGAGATCGGCCAAACAGCCTGACTGCTCACCATTGTGACGAGGTTTCCAAACCACTGATGCGCCACCTCATGAGCAACTGTCATTATAATTCGCATTTTTGAATATGTGCTTGTATTAGCTGGATCCACCAGGATGCGTGTCTCCCTGTAGGCAAAAATTATTTTTTATTTGCACCGTTAGTATTGTTCCTATGAAACTGCAGCAATATATTCCGCGATGTCGCGTTTAAGTGTGTTTTATAACATAATATATTGTCCATTCACATAGGGTTTAACGAATTTGTTTTCTCGGTCAATAACACGGAAAGTATTTACACTAGGGTTAAGCGTTTTTCGTTGTACCTATACGTGATCAAGCCCCAGTTTTCCATGGCCCCCATGGAGAAGTCCGAAATGGCAATGCAGTCGCATTTGCTTAAAGGATACGGAGTCTGGAATACAGAGCGTTTTTAAACGAGAAGTTAACCAAAATTACTCGTATATATACTTTCAATGGGCTTATATATTAAAAGCTTCGAGATGGCTTTCGTTTCGTCGACACATAGATCTTATTTCTGAGCTGATCATATTTCAAGCAAAGCCTGAAGTGTAATTTTTTTATGGTAAACGTTATACAAAACCGCAGTCGCAAGTCGAAAAGAATTTGTTCACTTATTACTATAGAACTGCAATATTAAGCAACTACTTTTTTAACTATTCCGGATTCTAAAATTTTTCGAAATAAGCATTTCTTTTTATCGATAATTGAAATTGATGATTGAAATTTCTTGAATTACCCACGGATCCAGAAAACATACTAGAGATCTCGGAACTTTATATATCTCTGCATCCATCGATTTTCAGTAAGTACCTTGAAGTAATCTTCGTAGAAGTCGAACGATTTAATAGTGTAGTCCAATGCAAATCGACCTTGCTCCTTTTTGCCAGGAGGAGTGTAAACACGAATTCGGATTTTTCGCGCGCTAAATCCTTCGACATAGTCGTAATCACCCACAACAACTGCATTTGAAAATATGACAGAGAGAACAGAGGCATGGGAAAGACGTTGTAGAATTATAAGCGAATAAAACACCGTTCTTCGCTTTGTAACTATCGACCATTACTTGGAATCAAATTGCTAAGGACATAGAATTTACTTAAGAATAAATAATTGCGGTGCAGCTCCAGAAATCATTTAGAGTGTCAAAGACCTGTGTTATTAACCATTTGATAGACAATATTTCCTTATCCAGATGCCTTTTTAACGGAAACCAAGTAAACAACAAAATGAATTTTTTGTCTCTATGTTTTTAACTATCTTATTGTTAAAAAGCCTTTTCGAATCATCCGCAATAGGAAGTAAATTCAGAGGCACAGTGGAAATCTGTGAATTAATATTAAGTAAATGTAGCTAACGTAACTTTGTTCCTACATATATGCTAACAATTTTTGTAAACACTCACCACAAAGAAGGTAAGTGCTCATCCTGGGTGTAGGTTCAAATCGCGTCTCTATCCAGCCAGACTCGGTGGCGTCTTTTTCTTCCACGGGGGAAGTATTAGACAATACGAGAAATCCTTTTTTTGTGATTAAGGTCATCTCGAAAGTTGCCTTTAACGCCGGCTCATCCCAACAAGGAAACATACGTCGGCAATCACTCGGCTAATGTTTCAAAGGAACCGATCACAAGTATTGTTTCAAAATAATGGTGAAAATTTACAAATCAAATCTCCTCGCTTTTACAAAATGAAATTCGGGATCCAATAAAGAAATTGAACAACGTCAGAGGATAATTCTCTTCTGCCTACAAACGCTGAAAGAAATAGAAGGTCTGTCGCGCCTGCGTTGCTTTATTACTCAGCTTTGTCATTTCATAGACGTCTTTGACAAGTACCTAAGGTTATTACACAAACATAAATAGATACGTGGATAGCAATGGATCCCTATGACATACTTCGAAGTGGGTGGAAGCAGAGTAGACATCCTCGCCTTTTGCATTCTTGCTTTTACAGCGATATAGGCCGCGAAGTTTATCATTCAAGCTGCCCGCGAACGCGTACCGCAAGACATTTGCACCTAAAGATGATACAACCGGTAAAGTTTAGCGTAAATACGAAATAACAAATTGATCCAATGTGTGATCGATCTCAAAAACAGCGTAGATTTCCAAATTAATTTAAGGCATGTATTTGATATCTCTAGAATTCGTTAATGTAAGTTAAAAAAATAAAAACTTTATATCTTTTGGATATAGAACACAAGTAACAGCAATGAAAACGTTATCAGATGTTCATTAAGTGTTTTCGGGACTGCATCTATATACGGCAGCCTGCTAGCCTATATTTTTTCGTCGCCGCTCATTTTGCTTCAAAGCGAGCCACACGCCCAGATGGAGTGAATCTCCCCGAGCCACGTCAAACCACCACAATTAATCATTGAGCCGTTATTTGTTCCATTTTCTTTCGAAAAATCGCTTACCCTTTGGTACTAGTTCGTCCATAACGAATTCAACGCGATCCTCATCTTTGAGTTCCTTGATCTCTTTAGCAGCAATCTTGCTCTCACCACTTTGCAGTTCGACCCCGCTAACATTTAGCTCAATACTATCAAGCAGAATCGATGCGCAAGGCTCGTTTACCTACGCAGAATGTACAGGATCGAGTTCAGTTGAAAAATAGGACCAGTCATTTAAAGGAAGAACTCCTCGTTTAGCAACAGCGTAAGTTCTTATCATATCAGGCCTATAACAGCCAACCTACTCCTCTCATTCTGATTTTAAATGAATATCTTTTAAGTTCGCGGTAGACTTCGGCTAAATAATTGGCTATTGGTTATGGACTGAATATAAACATGCCGCCGCCGAGGACCGATGTAAATAAAGCTATTAAAAATTAAGGCAAAAATTATCGGAGGGAACCGCTAACAAATTGTAGTACATGTTATACATTAAGGGTATTTCAAGGAATTTGTCCTGTCAGGGCCATATAAGCCAAAACAAAAAATATTAGCGGAGAAGATGAATTTTACTCCGTGATTTTATTACCGGTGTAATACGCAAGCAGTTTAATAATTTTATTAGCGCTATGACAGAAGCATCCTGCTGCTAATCTGCAATTAGTTTTATGGCGAATTACTGAAGTAAGCATTTCTCAAGCAAAAAGTGTGAGGTTTAATGACATATGCCGCTTTATGTCAATTGTTTAATGTTGGAAATACAGATGTTAAACGATTTAATTATAATCAGCATCACAAATATTCTTCATGTGTTAGATTTATCGTGGAGCATCCCTAAATCGCTTACCTTTATGTTGGCTTCAACTGTACCGTCGAATTTACAGAGCTCGATATCAATTTTCAATGAGATCTTATAATGTTCTGGAAGAATATTCGTCCCGAGTCGCCTAAATTCTTTTTTGCCTGTTTGAGTCATTTTGCCTGTCTGTAAACAACACTTTGCAAAAATATAAGAAATATTTCGTTAACATGTTTAGAGTACGCTTTTAATCGAACAAATGCTGGAGAGTAAACGATATTACACTGAAATCAAAACTGAACACAAATTATGTGTGAGCGGATTTTAAGGTGATAAGATAAAATAGATAGCACAAATTACTCTGCCAAAAGACGGGCGCGTTGTAATGCCTGCGCCATTTAATCATTTCCTTTGCCTCGACAAGGTTACAAACCGAGACTACAAATTTAGAGTGTTAATTACCACACAGACAATACTCTTCTAGTTTTTGAATATTCAATTCGCGAAAATATCACATAATTAATGAACAAGTACGGCCATCAATAAACATATCTTGAAAAGCTTTCCAAACGATCTGTGAGTGCCATTATTTATGTTCATTTTTAGCAAAATGTATTGCACATTTTTAAGAAATCCTTGTTCAACTAAAGATAAAAATCAAGCTTAAGGAAACAAAATAGCAGCTCCTATTTTTGAAATTCGAGCGAGACGCATTTTTCTAAATAAATAAAAAAGTACTAGCCTTGTTAGGTTGTTTGTAGTACACGAATATGAGACCCTCACGGCTGCACAGTCATCTGCTTTATAGCATCAGCACTGATATTCCAGCTTTTTTAGCACTCCGAAAGCATACACGAGGGTGGCAATGCCGGGCGGTTTTGAAACACCGTTCAGCTACCTAATCAAAACAGACGCGCCCATAACGAAGGGAACCCGGAAGCTACGGATATAATATGTACACAGTTCCGTGTGCGTTGGGATCTACCTTTAATTCTATTAAATAGCCATCATAGTAAACGAATCTCAACTTGCCAACAATACTCGCTATAGTTTTTGTATAGAAAAACTCTGAAACTTATCGTGCAAAAAAATTAAAAATTAAAACGACGTTACCTTAGGCACGGGCCAGTTTTTGTTAGTATGTATAGATATAAATGAATTAATCACGGATTCATTGAAGCCAAATAGAATCCCCGCCAAATAAAGAGGTTAAACATTTTAAAATTCTTTTTTACTTCTACTAGCATTTTGCAAGACTAACATCGTTTTCTATATATACCCCATATATTTTCCTATGTGCATATGTAGTTTCTTTTATATATTGCCCAAATCGAGTGCTTGCTTATGATTTTTTTTAGATAAATGATACAATAATATGGGGGAGACGGGTTTAAACAATATGTAGAAAAACGTACAATAGGGAGCGAATTGAAAGTTCAAATTACGATATATTTTCGCAAAAAAACTATGTAGTTATAAATGCCTTCAAGTCTTCGTCAATGTTGCGCTCATCACATCTGTCTAGTACTGTCGATGCCAAAAAAGCTGTTTTAGACCTTTGCTGGGCTATTAGGTAGGTGAATCATTGATACCCTAGTTGAGCGTATAATTTTCGTCAATGGGCCATTGTCCGCTATCTTAAGTACGCTCAATTCCACCACCATGTTTTCTGTCTGGTCAAATAACTAATCAGAAAAATTTTCAACAAAGTGTGAAAAAGGTATGACTAATAGTTATAATTAAAATTAAGAGCTTGAGTGAAATGGTTGTGCAGTGTAATATTGAATACAAACTAAGCGACAATTTAGCAAAACCGTTTTCGTGTTAGCAACTGATTAACATTTATCAGTATAAACAATTCGATATACGTTTCTGTGTACTTCAATAAAGAAAATGTCAGTGTTCTCTTAGATTGCTGCTTACGGGCGTATCAATGTCGATTAAAAAAAAGAGCAAAGTTAATGTTGACTTTGTTTTTTTTGACTTTGAAAGAAACGAAACTTCGGCCAGAAAAAACCGAAGTTTTTTTTACAAAGTTGTTTGCCTGGTAGGAAAGCTCAAAACAGGAAAGCTCCGTCTATGGAATCCAAAGGAAATAAGCAGCCACATTACCTCAGTAACGCAGTCGTGCTATAGAGACCGCGCACACAGTAATGATGCCGTCGAAACGTTTATTTTTGTGGTGGAAAGGTTTATTTACACCGAGCGTAAAGCAAAGGGGAGATTTGATTCTGTTGTAGAAAATCACCTTATTTCTGCTTCATGTTGGCTTTATGCCAGTCTCTTACCGGCCTATGCTTTACATTACAGAAAGGTTGTCAGTTACCTGTAGCTGCTAGTGCATAATACTTAAACATCGATCAATATCAACTATTAGGCATGCGGTAACTTAATGTTACTGCTAGCCCTCTGCGTGTTTGTTGATTTTAGCTATCGGACGCATATTCATCCAAGTTATCGATCTTTGTATATGATGATTAGTCTAAAATGATGAGGTTAGATGAGAAGTATATATTCAGGATCACAGCGGTCGAAATGAAGCGCTATGACTCGTTTGTCTTGGAAACTGTTTCAAAAGACGCCGAATTGGCGACGAATAAAAGTCTTTAGTCATTTTGTGTTTACGCGTAGATGATGACAACTGAAGTAATTACAGTTTGTAGCATAGCAGAATTTTCCATCAACCCGGTGCTTCAGGCTGTGTCATGGTTTTAAGCAAGTTACCACATGTGAAGAATCGCTGCAGAATTATTCAGTGCAATATTTTCAATTAAATTCGAATAAACTTCATTCGAAAATACAAGCTACAAAGCCGTATCAGTTTCAAAAGACTGATATCAACAATGACTGTCTCATTTAACATAACTAATATATAGAAACAAAGAAATCGGACTTTACGCCGAGGATGCGTACCTTGATGTATGCATCAAACAACGAATTTGAAGCATAAATAATTGTGAAACAGTAACAATTCCATGCTCATTGAAAAGTCTTAACGTAAAGCGAACTTTGCTGGTTCAAACATAGTGCGAATGCCATGTTGGCCCGCTGATGCCATATTTAAACGCTTAAAAATGTCTTGCTTCAAACCGCAATAGCGTGCGTAGATTAAGCAGGGATCTTTTAAGGTGAGAAAGTGTATGTTGGGAAAAACTCTTAGGTCGAACACCAGATAGCATCGCATTGTAAAACTAGCATTTTGGGCGTAATTTAAGGAAATTATTAGCCCATAATAATCTTCGTCCAAATGTTAAGTAGATTGAGTTTCTTAATAGGTTGGAGAAGCATTGAATATTTTTAGGGAAGACATGTTCCGTATCAGAAATGTGTACAGAGAAGCACACTGTATCATTGATATATTCAACGCTAGCCAGTTCATTCTCAAAGTTGCAGATGTCCCATCTGCATCAGGAAAAGATTTGCGAGTCTGCTTTACGAAAGTAAGTTGGTCAGCAAAACAAACCGCGTGCAGTCTTCTTTCATAGGACTCGATGTCAAAGAGCCTTTATACGAAAGAGAATAGAAATTTGTCCAGAACTCAACCTGAAGGGCTGTTCTACTTGATAAGGCCATCTCTAAATTTCTGAAATCAACGAACTATATACAAACAGTAACTAATGCAAAGAATAATTCGCTTTTATATAGTGTTATAATTTTTCGAAATAACCTGCTGGTTTTCTCGTTCTTGTTTCCGTTTTTACGTCTAAAACATTTTGTAAATTGTATTTTTGCAACCTAAATTTGACTGACATATCTATCCTAATAAAAGAGTCGTAATCACTAAGTTTGGAAGAGATGTTGTTAATGTGGCTTTTCGCATGGCACCTTATTCTTTTAAAAGGATGAAGTTTGTGCGTTTGTAAAAGCTTCCGACCAATCATGAAAGCTTCTGCAACGGTTCTGGCCATTTCTAGAGAATTAGCTTGTCTCGACAAAAAAAAAAATAGGATGAAAGCAACAGGAGAAAGGCAAAAGGCTTATGCTAAAAAATCAGGGGCCTACTCTAAAATTGACTTTAAAGCTGCTGAGCTTTTTTATCAGCACAAGTCAAACGCCTTGAGTGCTTAGTGACTCCCTGTTTGCCTTAAGGTAAACGGAAAGGGCGCTGGGAATTAAATACAAGGATCACCTCCACTTGGGTCTAATATAATAACAGTAATAAGGTAGTATCAAATCTTGCTACTTGGGACAGAAATCGAACTCAAGGCAATTTAAGCTGCAATTTGCTAGCTGATATTATCTTTTTGCTCCCAACTGGAACTCGTATTTAGAGCGAATCTTCGTAGGAAAAGGGACTATAGCAAGGAAACTGGAATTTAAAAGAGGAAAAAAATAAATAAAGTGGAAATCAGCCACAAAATGATGAAGGGCGCTTCAGGACTGCATCGCTTATCGGAGCGATGTCATTAAGGGCGGAAGTGATCGAATAGTATCGATGCTCATTGAAAGCAGCGGCTAGACCAAAATAATAAATTAAAAAAAGGACCATTTCATTTAGCGGCAATGTTGACTGCCTCGCAGTAACAGCCTTTTTTCTCGACTCCGAAGCACTTTTTGGTCATTTAAGGGGAACCAGTAGCTTGGCTCTCAGCTTGCGCGGGATTGCGGTCTCTTCCCAAAAACTTTGGTGGGATTTATGCGTAAGTCATCTAATATGTAACGGAATTGTGTACTCAGCATTCGAAATGAGGACAGAAAAAGTGTGGTGATCATTTGGAGTTATGCGCGCCCTTGGAAAACTTTTCAGTATTATTTTTTGGGTTGGTTTCCGTGAAGTCTATAAAACGCAGAGTTCGCGACTGGGAAATAAATGCCTTTGTTAGCATTTATATATTATATTGTGGATCAAACGTTGTGCCGCAATGTCGCTTGCTAAAAAAATCTGTGAAAATACTTCAGATCTGCAAAGAATTGACTAAAATTGATTTTAGGAAGCATTCACCCAGACCTCTCAAAACAAAACGGAGCTCATCATTCTGTTCTGAAATTGAACGAAGCGCACCATAATCAACTAGACTGATATACCTTTTCTACTACGTCTTTAGTCGGTGAGTGTTTCGACGCTTTTGGGAAAGATTATGCTAATTTTTAGAAAGGTTAGAAATGTAAAAATCAATAGTATGCAGGAATCATTCTTCTTAATGTGGCGAGTAAAAATTTCGATAAGCAGTAACGAAAGTTAACTGTCCACTCAGACAGCAATATTTTTATTACAATCGTTCTCCCATAAGGCAAAATTATTTTAAGCAGTGTTTTCTTTTCTAATAAACGCTGCGCGAAATTGCAGACTATAGGAATATATAGAATACAAAGATTCCTATGTTGAAGATTGAACCGTATTGCTGCTTAGTTTATCAGGCGCGAGCATACAAACGATCGATGCCGTGACCGCCTGGCTGAACAAATGCTTTTAGATTACAGGAAACAACACACGTAGATCTAAGAGAAGCTGAAATAAAAACCTACTATAAAAACAAAGTATACAGAATCATTTGCGAAAACCTAGACTTCACCAAACAAAAGAGTTCTCAAACTTGTTAGTTAGTAAATGCTTGCTCTGCCTGTGCTTCGTCGTCTCTTGAATCATAGCATGCGAAAAATCTCTACAGAACTATTATTAAGTTAATTTCTATTCCGTGTGAGTACTCTCCGCATGATGTGTGATATAACAATACTATCGAATCTCTTGAATACAAGGTGAACCTTTACGCCTTCCACACTTGCCACCAGCAGTAGGCCGGAACGAAGCCTAAAGCAGACGCAAATGTTTTCAAATACCATAGTCAAAAGTACAGTTGAGCCCCTCAATAAAGCCTTTTTTTCAAGTGAATATAATTAAAAGGTTCACACCATCTTGCACACAGTAACTGTATATTCAACATTGCGAACACATGTATCGTAAAGCATATCATTTTGTCGCAGGTTTCTTAAACAGTATTTATTCATATTTGTTTCATCGATTCATTCTGCGTACACGTTTCATAGAGGGAAAAGCGAGCGCTGGGTACTTGTCTGGCAGTAACCTCACTTGTTTGACAACAGCTATACATATAAATTGTGTACAAAAGTGCATAGCAGGCCGTAGCGGGATTAGACGGCATTATCACTTAAGACCCACTTGTATTTTAACATCGGTTTGGTAAAGCCATCCTGTAGTCTAGTAATTAACTTCATACACCTCCAAGAAATTGAATTCACAGGTTTCATTCAGTCTAGCTTAAAGAGAACTAAAAGTGTAAAACAACAGATAAAATAATCAAGTACTGTATTTCTGACTTTTTCCTAAGCTAGCTTTTCGTAACTTTAGTATATAATATAATTTTAATACTATCCACACAAAAAATAACAAAGTTTTTCGTTAAACTGACTAAACGAAGACGAATAACGCATTCATTGGCATTGTACCTAACTACAGTATTAATTGAGAACGAATGGAGTATCTGAGACATTTTTTTATTATCAAATTTCTGTTACGTAAAATCCACTTCGATTTCTCATCTACACTTCAATGTAGTGTAAAAAAAGTTTGCTTTAAATTTTTTGGTCATTTCATCTGTTTTTTTCGGTCTGTTTAGTAGACAGAATGTGGGATTGTATAACGTAGGTCAAAACAAGATTATCGCCTTAATGGTAGTTAGTATTAAACGGAATAATAAGACTTAAATTGGATTTAACTAAGCTTTTAGAAACATACCTCTATTTGGTAGAAAAATTTAAGGTACTATGTCTACAATATTTTGTTACAGAGAAATCAGGCTCAGAAATCTAGATCTTGATGGCTCTTGAACGTACTAAGTAATACACGGTACACTGTCCTTCTGTTAACGAAAATTCATGCAGGTCGCTATCATATTGTGTATACTGCAATATATAACTCATCTAAGAAGTTTGGTATGTTTGAAATCCTCATCCTGGCCAAATGAAGCGTTGTAGTCGGTGCAACAGCGCTTTTTCGTTCAGTGGCCACGAGACGTGAAAAAGCATACAGGCAAGGGTTCAAAGTCAACTTTGCTGTGACCCTTATGAACCTTGCGAAATTAGAGGGAATTACTTGTGTCAACTTTCGACCATGGCGACCAACAACGGACATTTGTAGCGATCCCTCCTGAATCTCGGGCCACCTTTAGGAAAACATGCTTCAAAGACACTAGAATTGCATTGATTCTCTTCAAAAACCGTTGTTCCGTAGCACCTTGCCTGTATCACAACATTGCCTAACTGTTGCAGCAATAAGGTTTAAAATTTATAGATCCAAGGCAACAGTTTAGACTGAGCTCGTTAATAATGCTTACACATATGTTTAAACAGAAACGACGCTCATGTTAATCCCGAACAGTGTTTTCTGTACCGAGGATAATTTTACTGTATCGTACGTACTGCGCCTCTGCCACTGCAGTCTTGCCCCCTTTCTTCGACATAACAAACGTGATTTTGATAAAACGGCAATAAGCCAACTTGTTGCCACACTGTTCACAACTTTTCAAGTTTTTATTGGCCACCCAAATAAAATATTGCATAACGAGCGCCGATCATATTTCTATATTCATTCAGAATTCCAATAAATATGCGTGACTGAGCACCACACGGTGACAGCCAGTTATCCGAACGACGGTTCGGTGTAGCTTTGAACAGATACAGAAAAAATGGTACCATGGCAATCATGAAGTAAGGCACACGAACGTTTTGTATTAATGATTCACGTAGAGTTCTGCGTGCACGTGAAATTATATGGGGACCGATTTATTTAGTAGCGAGGTCTTATAGCTCTTGAGCTCAGAGCGCTGCATGCGAGTGTACAAGTGATTTTCTAGCTACAACTCTCTTTGCCGACGTTAATTACGTCACTAGATCTTCTGACCCGATTCCAGCCGGGCGGACTTCTTTTTGTTCATGCAAAGCTCGACCGAAAGCCAGTCATCGTTTGAAGACGACGATTGCTCGATGCAAACCCACCGATAAATTATAATCGAAGGATATTCTGTAGGTTGTCTTGCCTTTTTTCTTATCCATTTTATTTCGTATCACATGCCTAACTATCGTAACATTAGCACTTATAAACATACTGTTAAACCACATTATATTTTTTTTGAGTACTCAGTATTACAGCGTAAATTCTGAAAATATTTAATGTACTTTTGGCTGAAAATGTTCAGAAAAAATCCAGTTAAACCTGCTACGAACACCGCACGCGTGTTCAACTAAAAATTGCCCAAGATATAAATAAGTGACCTATCCTTTTTAGATAATTCATATTCGAGCTACAGATAATTTGTATAGAGCACATCGTCAAATTTTGTTTTCCTTCGAGTGTACCCATTCTCTGTACTTGTGAAGTCGAACAGCGTAAAATAAATCACAAAACGTTTGTATAAGAGAATTATTCTATTCACAACTTGAATATTATGATATTTACAGAGACACATAATTAAATACATCTATATATACCTTCACCCGAAAAATTAAGGTAGAACTGTAGAACAATCTGCCTATAAGATACTTTAGTCCATGCGAATGGTGAGCCTCAAGCATACGCATACGAGAAATGCCTTTCTGTAGTATAAAACTAAATCAGATTACAAACCTTATATCAATCGGAATCGGACACTCAGATTTTGGACTGTGCCTTAATGTCAATACTGTTAGTCTTACGAAGAACCTTTATATACTGTTGTAATGTAATAGTTAAACACAAGTAATGCCGGCGGCTGAAAGCTTATACATACACTTAATACAGATACATAGGCTTATCTGAAAAATTAGTCCTTTAATGAGAAAAAATTTTATTCAGGATTAAAGTTAGAAAAAAAACCTTAACTCTGCTCCTAGTTATTTTCAGGTTTTGTTGCTTTCGTCATCTATCATGTTTATTTTTTTTTATTTATGTTTATGTATTTAAATTAATTGGAATGGAAGAACTGTCACTGCTTCGAGATACTCCAGTGGATAAGCTTGCTTTGGTTGCCAGTAATGACTGAAACCAGGTAGAGACTACTAAAAAATTTTATAGATAAATACGAGTCTCTAAAATCCGCTAATTAATATTTGATACAGTACTGCAACACCGCAGTAATGTGGTCTCTCAGTAGGCTGCCTATTTGCACTTTTAATGCACTTCGTTAAAAAAGCCGTTACATGTTTTCCATATTTTACCACCGGATAGCGAGGTTCTCAATATGTTCGAGGATATTTTTTACTTGACTTCCTTTTTAATATTCGGGATGTGCTGTAATTCGAACAATATAAATCTGAAAAAAAAACTGAGTGTTTATATGAAAAATTTATAGCGCGTTTATTTATATTTTATTCGTATATATTACAGATAAAATAGCTTAATATTTATATCAGAAGTAAGACGCAACTGCTTATTCCATGGTACATTCAGGAGAAGGACCATGTTCATAATCTATATGAGTATTTAAGATATGCTTAAACTTACAATGTATTCAAGTTTAAGAATATTCTTATGAGAAACACCCTTTTTTAATTGTATATTTGGAATTAATTATCAATCCAAGTGATGTTTACATAGTCCAACAGTCTCTGTACGTTCATCATAATTAACAATTTCGCCTTATTAATAGTTCTTACAGTGCAAAAAACGCAAACGGCTTAATATTAAGAGCTCAAAGCTTACATACACATATATATAAGCTTATCCAAAAAAGATCCCTAGTCGGTAAAATACTATATTCAATAAGTTATTGCTGTGTAGCTTACAGGACAATTAAATACTGATGCAGTCTATCGGTGGGGTGTTTTTTTGTAAAGCACTTTTAATGTACCTCGTTAAAGGATGTTTCAGTCAGCTGTTCATCCTTTTATAGGCCTACCGTCTTCAACCAGATGTTGAAATAGAGCGTTCCTCATCAGTTTGTGTGCCTTTAACTAATTTAACAAACTGCAATTTTTTCATGGTATTAAAAATAGCATTAAACTACAAAAATCACCATTTCGGTTAAATGGCTCTTATAGAAGTTACAGCTCGGTAATTGGATAAAAAGTATTAGCTATGGATCTAATTTGGACATACCGCGAAGAACCGACGTAAACAAAACCATTAAAAATTGAGGTAAACATTATCGGAGCGAACCGAAAACAAATTGTAGGACGTCATATACTAAGGGGATTTCAAGGAGTTTGTCCTGTCAGATCCGTATAGACCAAAACAAAAAATATTAGCGGACAAGATGAATTTTACTCTATGATTTTCCTACCGGTGTAATACACAAGCAATTTAATAATTTTATTAACGCTGTGACAAAAGAAACCTGCTAAGTTAATCTGCAATCAATTTTCGAGCGAACTACCAATGTAAACAAAAAAATGTGAAGTTCAGTGACAGATGGCGCTTTATGTCAATTGTCTAATGTTAAAAATTACGATAATATGATAAATACAAATGTTAAAGGATTTAATTATAATCAGCATCACAAATATCCTTCCAGTGTTAGATTTATTCTTAAATCGCTTACCTTTATATTGGCTTCAACTGTACCGTCGAATTTACACAGGTCAATATCAATTTTCAATGAGATCCTATACTGTTCCGGAAGATCGCCTAAATTGCAAATAGACAATAAAACAAATAGCCAAAAAAACCTATTTGTCATTTCGCCTATCTGTAAACAATATATTGCAAAAGTATAAGCAGTAATTCGTCGTTTTTAGATATTTTTCGTAATTCCTTCAGACGTGTTCTAATACAGTGTTAGTCATATATACGCAACGATTCGTAGCAAATAATAGACTAATTGAACGGTGATTGTATTAATGCGATAAGCAACTACAAACAATGTATAAGCGAATTCAAAGACCGCGGATTATAGCGCAGATAGCTTAAAGCGAAAGTTTTCGTACTTTCGTAGACTTACTTCAGTTGACTGTTGCCTTCAGCCCAACAAAATCACCGATTAAGGATCATAGAGAGCAAACGTCACACAGGCAGCACCGTCCTGTGTGAAATCCTCACCTAGAACTTTTACCATCAAATAATAAAGTCTATCTAATAAACCATTTCCATGCTCACTAACAACATAGCGAGAAGCTTTTTAAAACGACGTTCCGTGTGCGATTTCCCATTAGAACTCAGCACAATGTGTTTTTTGTTTTTAAAGACACTTGACATATGCAACAAAAACAAACTGGCGCTACAGCCAGAAATTCAGGTAAACTGCACTTCTTTAGATAAGAAAGAAAAATAAAGATCACAACTTTGTTTTGATAAAATGTCTTAGGCAATCTTCTGTTGTAACACCCCTAAAACAGCACACTGCGCTGCTTGAGAACGGTAAACATGACATTGGAAAAGTTAGACAATGACAGAGTACCGCTCAACAACATGAATAAAACAAGCACACCACTAAAGAACGGGACTTGGAAGCTACAGAACGACGACTTTATCGCGGCTGCTCCTGACACCACCTTTCACATGTACACACATTCGCTTTTTATTTTCTAATTAGCGAATGAAACTGAAGTTATCAAAATCGAATAAATCAGTAATACAGTCCTCACTTTAGTTTGAAACCCTATTGCTTAATAATAATTAAAGAGGCGTCACTTCAAGCATAGGTGAACTACTATAAATATATGCCGATCTATCTTTGTCCCTTGAAAAAGTCTCTTGAAATTCCGTTTGCTGTATACACAGACATTTTCTGAAACAAGCAAACTATTCCCACGAATTTAGATAGCTTACATTGTAGTGAATTGTTCACATTGGTGCTCTGCGCTAAATGATATTTCTTTGTTTTGATTAAAGCCATCTAGATTCCTATGTCCAAGTGCAGTTCGCATATAAGAACATTTCGTTATGACCATTCCAGTCAAAAAAGAAGTACTGCATAACTTTTTTGAAAGTCTTCAAACATTTCATGTGAACAGTAACGCAATACGTGTAATACTAATAATAGAGCTGACGGCTGAAGCGATAGCAAGCATGGTATGAATCGTGGAACGTTTGTACTTATTGAATAAGAAGGTATCTTGATAATAAAGGAATATAACAACGCCGGAGGGACAAATACGAAAGTAATGTAAATACAAGATGGAAGTGATTAATAACTGTCAAATAATAGTCTGGCTGCCCGTGTTTTATAACCGTTAGTTATATATATATTTTTTTTCTTTATTTTGACTAAACAACCCCATGCAACAATAAACAACAAATAAAAACAATGAAAATATAAATTTTTAAAATACATTCAAAAGGTTTACTAAAACGTAATCGTCAGAGCAAAAATATCTAAAGAAAGTTAGAAAATAATAGAAAATGAATTACAAGTCAAAGTGGAACTTCGGAGCGCTCATCAGGGTGGCGCGGACCATATGTGCGTCATAGATTCTCTCGTCAAAAGCCCCGTTCTTAGGTCTTTGCCGGACAATAGTCTCAGCGACAATTCGCTTCGTTGCTTCCTGAGTTCCCGTCTACTTTAGTCAGCAGTCATTCATTACTTGATATGTACACAACTCCATTACAAATGTTTACCTGCTGAAGGTGCCAGCATAGCTTGTAAGTTCCTAAAAACAAGGAGGTCTTCTTATATCCAAAGAACCCCGCTGTCAAAATTGATGGCTTCCGATAAGGATCACAACTGCCAAAACAATGTGCTGCGGCTGATTTCGTCGGTTCTGAAACTTTCTACGAGAGAGCGAATTAAGGAAGATCAATAGAAGTTAACTTTTCTTGTTTGTGTGTAGATTCTTATGCCATTCTTAACATACTGGCAACGCACAAGTTCGTTGTACGCAGGTTGCAAGAATACAGGTACGACCAGAGCGGTACAGAACTTGCAGTTTTAAAAGGCCATCTTGTCTAAAAATTGCTGAAATTGTCTCTAGATTTTTTAATTCAGTGTAAAAAACAGTTGATAATAAAGGATCATTAGTTTTTAAAGCGGTGTCGCTGAATTTCCCTAAGTGGGATGCTGATTTCTAGATCTCGAAACAAAATCATTTTTTAACAATACGACAATATTTTCATGTCCAAATATTAAACGTAGCGTACCTTTCGCACCGAAATTGGACTAGCGAACATACGGAAAAGTTGAAAGTTACTAAATCGATCATTCTGATTGTATTTGAGCCTTTTAAATGTGACAGCTTGTATGTTAGTAAACGCTTTCAATTTCAGTTTTCGAACCATTCATCTCATCTTAAAAAACTAGGCTGCAAATAAAATGTGTGAAAGCATTGAGCCTGCGGTAAAGAGACATCCGAATTTGCTCATCGGCTTAAAGGCTGTTGAGTACTGCCGTCACTACAGCTTAAGGGGCGGTAATAGATGCTTATTGACTCCAGCATTTATGAACTTCGCCACCTAAGCGTCGAGAGGAATCAAATTCGAAATAGTTCGAGGGCTCACTACCACTCGGTTCCTTAATATAGCCTAATAGCAGTGCTGAAGTGGAATTAAATGCCTTTACTGAAATTACAGTGGTCTAAGTTAGAACATTTTGAATTGTTATCCATTGATTCACATGATGGCGAAGTCCTAAGTAAATTAGCTGCTTTTCATTTACTAATCCGTAAACCAGTGGCGCGGTCAGTGATACGAAAAATACATTTTATGGGAAGTTGTGTACAGCAATCGTATACCGTTCTATAAATCATGAATAAGAATCTGCTCGGTATTCGTTTATTTAAGACGATATTAATATTAATTAGAAATGAAGGAAAACACCTTGAATACGCTCACTTGAAAGTAGGAAGAAAACTAGATGTAGAATAAGAAGCAGTAGAAATCAAAACGTAGTTCATAGTTTTCGGGGACCTCATTTATAATTGCTTTGAAACGTTGGATAAGGTGAATAAACAATAAATTTCTACTGAATAAATAGTTAAATCGAGATGAATGAGGCACTGATTAACATTGTATTTAAAAACAGAAAGCATCGAAGGCGTGGCACAACTTTCAAGTGCTTCAAGTCCGGCACTCGCGCCGTAAGCAATAGTCATTTCATACATTTGCTTTGTCCGTATCTAGAAGATCCTATATAAGACCATAAGAGACTCAAAATTTCTGTTTAGTTTATATGGTTGCCGCTTGATTTTTCATATGTATTAAACTGGCTAATATTAAATCTGAATTAGATCCAGCTAGTTGTTTTTTCTGTTTCTCTTTCCAGTAGAGCCAATCACCGTTAAAATATCGTAAATTCCGTAAAAAAGATTTAGGTTAAACTTGGAAATCCATGTTTCAAGGGCTACCAGTGATAAAGACGGAGTAGTACCAAGTCCCTTATAAACAGGTGACATCGAAAACCTTCCGCGTACCCATCAAAACAATGGATCTGACGTCCCCTACAGTAAAAGCGGGTTCTTTTTTTAATGCTAACCAATTAATTAGTATGACAGTGCGGCCCTAAGCCTCAGTTTTCTGCGATAATAAATCAAGTTATGCAAATATAACTGAAGAACTGCCGCGATAGCTCGGATTAAAGACGGGATACACGGCGTAAAATATGTTGTTCCTTGTACTACTCAGCAGCGGCTTGCCAGACTGGGAAGTTTCATCAACGCAAAGCAGTATTTCTATCTTCTTTTCCGATTTTGGCTATGACCGTTTTGAGAGAAAGAATGATTTTGAGATCGGTCTATATTGCTCAACTATAAAGTTATTGCCGCTGTGACCCAAACATATAACTAATACCACCTCGCTTTCGCAGGCCTCGGCAATATGCGGTAAAATGATCGTTGAAAATATATCTTTTGCGATCTGGAATAATCTTCCTTATAGTTAGACCTCAAGACAAAAATGAACGATCGGAAGATCGATTACTACAAATTAATGGAGAACGAAATGAGTAACTTACGAAGACATGATAATTTGCACATAACAAATTCTGAAAGCAAACCAACTAATGGAAATGGTATTAGAATCCGCAAATGGATTTAACGTTTTGGCGGCTACTTCTCATATTTTTGGAAAACTAGTTTAATGGGTTTGTTTTGCTAAACAATTTCTATGGCTTCTTGTAGCTTTTTTTCCATCCTTCCCTTAGTTAATGGCCCGCGATTTTCTGACGGAACAGCAAAGAAATCTACATGCAGTCCTTCGTTATCCGTTGAAATCAGTCTAAGATGTTACGGAGATATTTGTTTTCACAGATCAGACGATAAACATAAGATCGTGTTGTTATCGCGGCGGCAAATCAAATGGTGAGTAACCAGTTCTTGAATGAAGCTTTTTTTTTGCTCTTCACATCACTTACGTGTAATGTAACCTACTAAGGAGTCTACCACTCCTAATGAATCGAGAATCTGTGTCTGTTTAGATAATGAGAACTGCACCACCTATTGCTAAGATACTAGCTGGTTCTAGCACTAACCATATAATCCGGTTTTTGTAGTGAGTGACGGAACATTGAGCACCGGAATTCTTGTGGGTGTCCCGAGTTTCTAAAGTTAAAAGGCCATTTTCGCAAAAGGTTTTTACTAAAATTAAATCTATTAATGTTTCGATTTGCATCGATTTCGTTATGAAATTCAAACGAAGCCAGAACCTTAATTTTTCTACTTAGGAGTTAGGCGCCTAACAGAAGGTGGAGTAGAAGCCTGTGACAATTGACCTGATGCGGTTTGTTTGCCTTGATATTCCACAAGCAAGTTACAATTAACTTTCCCTACTTACTTAGTAGATGGCCGCTTTGAAAAGCGAATAGCAGACTCCTCAGCAGAACATAATGCAAAGATCATTTATAAGTTAGTCTAAGATGTGCGCAATTTGACTCTTAAGGTAGCTTAAATGTTCTAAAAGTAGTTGTGTAACCTAATAACTAGTCGTACTGAAAAGTGCCTGTGTGTTTTTACCAACTCTACAACGCCTCCTTAAACTATTATGTGAAAGCAACTTGGGTAAAATTAAAAGTAAACATTGCTAATTATATTATAAAAATAAATAATAGCACTTTTTGCACGTATAAGAAAAAATCCTAATCAACTGCCATTTTTCGATATAAGTTAAGCCTTACAGATCGACACGATGGCGGATCGCTACTCAATATCAACCTTGCGTCTCCCTCGAAACGTTGTTCCGAATCATTATTCACTTAAAATAAAAATCGACCTCGTCAAGTGCAACTTCAACGGATCAGCTGAAGTTGATGTCACGGTAGCTTGAAGTCTGGTATTCTTAAAGTATAATCTCGCCTTCGTGCTAAAGCTATCACCTTTAAGAGATTGTTAAAAAGAAAAAAAACAGGTTAAGGAGCATATGATAGAAGACTGTTGTACGACACGTTTTTAATTGAAGTATTAAAAAAGATTGCTGCGAAGCAACCCGCGCAGTCGGACCATTAGACTGTTTCGATAAAATTATTGTATATATCCGTATGTTTGCCATCTTTCGCATCCTATTTTTGAAATTGTTTTTATAAAAAATTATTGGTGACAGTGGGCCGTGCTGACTAATGATCTCTAGAGAATATGTTCCGTCTGAAGCTGTTATGTAATAGACTAAGTTGGTAAACATTCTATTATGCTAACAGGTGAATGAATCGACTAGTTCAGTTTTACTTAACAGTTTAGGATTAGCAGTCAGTGAAGGCGAGTTTCAGTGTGGGTCAAATACAATCTGTGTAAAGGAAACCCAAGAGTTAAAAGCTGATGAAAGGATCGAATTCATCTTCGGAAGGCCTATACATAAAGGTGAGATCGAGAATATAGTCGTCTTTTCACTTACCTGATAAAAGATGCGTGCGAACGATAATTTATATCTAATTCGACAATCATTTGAGCCCCTCCAAGGACATACTGCACAGGCCGTCCAATTGAGTAAACCGAACTAACACGTTTGTATTTAATGAAGGGTCAACTACTGCAGCACAGATCTAATTTAATTTTAAGTCATCTGTATACAAGATGTATTAAAAGAAACGTTTTAAACCCTTCAAATTATTCTAATCATGCTTTCCAAATTTGATCGACGTTTTTCTAGAAAACGCGTAAATTTCATGCAGTACTCTTATGGGCTGTATATGTAGACACTGAATACTAAACCTATACTTCTTGCGCCCTTTTCTCGTGGTTCTTACCTTGTTTTCTAAAATAAACCGGACTTCTACCTTTCCTCGTATTTTTCTTGCTGCTCTAGGTGCTTTTTATATTTAAATACGTTTTACAATACTTTTTAATAGTTTTCTTTTAAACTGCCCGAAGGTACCATCTATTCGCATGTTTCGAGTCTATTTTCAATAATTCTTTAACTTGTGCATGAAGAAGCCACGCTTAGGGATGTGCCCATCTTGTGATAATATGAGGTTTTAAATCACATTCTGTTGGATATACTAGATCGTTTATTGTTGATTTGAAGGGGAAATTTTCAAGTTTTTCTACAAAAATAGTCATTTTGGTATACGTGTCTTCATTGTCGTGCGCTTTATAGTTCATATAAATCGTTTTTTCGGTACCTGCATTCCTGCTAAGGTGGATTATTTCATATAAGGAGTACTTCAAAGCCTGAACTGTTGCGCAATATCGACTAGTACCTGATAATCAATATACTGAATTAGAGAAATCTCAAAAACAATCACTGTGGCTTTTTTTGGATGATGGAATCCTTATTGACCGGTTAAAGCTTCTCCATCACTTTACTTCTTGTTTTATTAAATATCGCCAATTTACAAGAGTGCAATCGTGGATTTATGCTTCATCAACGGGTACATGCTAATCAGTGAGCTAATAACCGAGTGAGAGGGATCGAACCCTAGACCTTGAGCTTGATACTCCAACGTCCTACGAAGCCTGGTGGCGCTAGTTTACGTATGAATTTCGCCATAGGCTTCCTTTTTGGGAAATGACAAAATTTTTTTTTTTAATCTAAAAGGACCTGTACACTACAAGCATGGATCTGTCAGATGCCTAGAAGTTCCCTGTCATAAAAGTAAATCCAAGGTGCTAAAGCGTCCCTGTTATATTAATCAGTGGATATATATTCGGCCGACAAATAGGAAATTCAAGCCGTGTTCTTGTCAATGCTGCGCAATCAACGAGACACCAATTTTGAAAATTTAAATTCCTGTATGTGAAAAGTCGCCATTACAGCGATGCAAAAAAATGAGCAAAAAGCTGGAAGATATTTCGCCGTTTAGTCTCTCCTATCGTAACAAACTTCCAAGACACACGTGTGCTTTCATAAAAAATATCATGAGCCGCAATACCTATTCGAATCAGAAGACTGTATCTATTATGAATCACTATTTCCTATTCCTCCAACAGGCACTGGTATACTTCGGTACTCGTTTTCGGCTGGCCTCAGCGAGGACCAGCGTGGCCTTTACCGTTGCGAGGCGTGGGATGAGAAAAATCGAAGGATGAATTTTGCCGCCACCAGCTTTGAGGTGCGCTTGCGTGCATACTAAGCCAATAGAGTATTAATCTTTAGTGCAATTTCTGGTCTGTCTAATCTATTTTATTGTTTGAAAATAACCTTCGTTGTGTTATCACTATGTCTATAAACTATTCCAACTTTTTCCCATTGTTCGTACTCTGTGTTGTCAGTCTGCAGACGCACGCCGAGCATTTCCTTGTTGGGATGAACCTGCGCTCAAGGCGACGTTCCAAGTGACCATGATAACGCAAAGGCCATACCTGGTTCTATCTAACATGCCTATTATTGAGCAGAAAAAATACTCAGAAGAAGGCTGGCTAATGACCCTATTCGAGTGCACTCCCAAAATGAGCACATACCTGCTTAGCTGTAAGTGTGCATAACGAACGTCAATCAAAGCCATACTAAATGAACATTGTTGTAAAGAAACAGGCTGGAGTAGATCATAATACATCGATTGTGAAGGACCAAACGATTTAAACATGACTTCGCCTCATAGCTTCGTCTCATTATTAAAAAAATAGGTAGTGACGGAGAGCGGGTCTTGTACTGTCTTGCTTACGTTATATGCATTCGATGAGCGGTTTTATGTAGTCTTACTGGGATAATATAGAATCTGTCTTTCGAGTGTATCTTGTGCATAGTTAGGTCTACCAGAGAAAGTGGGTGAGTATAGTTTGCCGCTAAGCTCGAAGCGTCCATGCGTACGTAAAAATTAAATTTGTCTTAGTTGTTTCCGTTTCCAAGATCTGGAAAAGCCTTTTTTCTTTTCCTATGGAAAACAAAATCTGAATCTCACCCGACTTGACGTACCCTTTAATCTTTTGTGGGCGGCATGATCTCGTGACGATTATTACTATGCGGTTTTATAAGTCTGTTGGAGAACTCCATGTGAGTGCAGCAAGGTTCACCCGGACTGGACTTGTAGCAGGGCAAGTCCTTGAAATTATACCTAAGGATTGATTCTAAAGACATGTTCACATAATACATTTAGCCAGAAACGTTAATAATTTTTTTAAGAGATCTATTAACTTTAGATAGGTAAATGATTATTTCGATAGTATTGGCCGCACTATTGATTCTCTTGGGGTGTTTATTATGGTTGCATTTGTAGATTCTCCTATGGTTAACCAAAAAGCTATAGTAACGCGTAACTGTCCTATTCATTCCATTTCTTGGATCAAATAGTTGTTTTCCTGGCCACTTCTGGCATTTGGTATATTTTTTCGGTAATTATCTGCGCTTGCGATGAACTCAAATTGAATTTCGAAACCTTTAAAAATTATAGGCATTAAAACTTTCTCTGCATTTATAAATATATTTTGTAATTTTATTTTCTTTATAAAGCTTGATTTCATTAAAAATTATATTAGCATGATATGAATAATGTTAGGCCAGTCAGAAACTGCGTTTTACGCTTAAACCTGATTGTTTTCGAAATAGAAAGAACAAACTCGAGCGAGTTATCAGCCTATCTAAGTATGTATAAAAGATGTAAACACCGTATTAACTCATGGATGAACTTAATAATGTTGTGAAATACTGTTGTAAAAGTCTTGCTTACGCAAATATTTTTCAGATTTTCGGATATAGTGAAACATACGCCTCGTATTCAGAACAGTATCAATTGTACTTAGTAACAAAAGTTCCTGGTAGTTGTTGTTGGCAGGTTCAACTACATCGAGGCCTTCAGCGCGCGGAGAGTTCGTATCCGAGTGTACGCTATGGTTGATAAAGAAAACCAGGGAGAGTATGCTCTACAGACTGCCGTCAAGTCGTTGGACTTTTTCGAAAACTATTTTGATGTATGAATAGTTAGTGCAAAATATAATTTAATATAATCCACTATCCTCATTACGAAATTACCCAAATGATTGCATCAAAAGTACTGGTTTTTCAAAAATACGGTCAACATATTTACCAATCTTAGCTGTGATAAATGTCATGCATTTCGATACCTAGTATTCTCCTCTCTCGAAGTATTCTTCCAAAAGTGCGGATCTTGCCAGATTGATCGGATTTTTCTATATATTATAGTATATATAGGTTTGGTATGTTATCTGCCTTTTTTAAAACGGAAGATAGAGAGGACAATTTATCAAAAGATAGCTGGAAATCACCAAACCCTTGCTTAGATGCTAGGTTATCTGTACTGATTAATTTGTCCTCAATTTTTTTTTCGGAGTTTGCCGTATTTCTTTTTTTTTTTTTTTTTTTACTGAAATTGCGATATTTCCTGTTTGCTACTAACATTACCATAAATCAAACAGGACAGTATGAAAAAATAGTTTTGAACTTACTATACTTTGGTTTGATCCGTATGAAACTGCAAGCTCTTCGAATCCGTATCTAAAGATACTAGTGTCGTATAAAATTTGTAGTAGTAACATAAGAATTACGTACACAAGTGCGTTTCGTTAATACGGTAATGACCAAGATATATTTTACATTGTACCTTTAATATTCAGATACCGTACCCATTGGCCAAAGTCGACTTGGTTGCCTTACCAGAAACTTCCGCGGGTTCCATGGAAAACTGGGGCCTCATCACATTTCGGTAAATTTCGGCAAAAAAGCTTTATATATATAAATATATATGTATATATA